GACGCCGTAGGATTGAGTCATGTAAGTAGGGTTGGGTATCGAGAATGAAATCGGGACTAACTTTTCGTTTTTCCCGGAATCGTTCAAAAGTCAAAATTTCGATTCCTAGTTTCGATATTCAATGTCCGCCAAGCGGAAGAAGAAACCGCTGAACAACACCAACGAAGAAGCGTCTACCGGAAGTGTTGGCATGACCGCCCGAGTCGAACATGAGTAGCTTACGTCGGCGGTCCAAAGTGTGGCTTCACTTTTCTAAAAATAACGAAATCTCCGCAAAATGCAAAATTTGTGACAAAAGGAGTATTTTTACCGAAGGAGTATTTCCTTCAGAAAGACCGTTGGTTAGCAAGGTTAGGTAAACTTTTTTGACCCTGCCTCTTAAAAGAATCAGAATCGAGAATCGTCAGGAACCGGAATCGAAACAAGGAATCGGAATCAGAATCGTTCAAATTCAAACGATACCCAACCCTACATGTAAGTGACGCTAAAGGGCGCCTAAAGCTTCAAATATTGAAGCATGGTCAAAGGTGACGCCTTGGGGTGAGAATGCGTTGGGTGTTTTTAACCCCTTTAGTGTCACCCCCCCCCCATTTTTTTTTTAATATAGATGAAAATGCACATTTCGAACTTAAATGGTTGTAATTCAAGAATGCTTTGAAATATAGACGTGAGATTGGTCTCGTTTTAAAGAAGACATTTGGCAGATTTTTGTAGAAGTGAAATAAATTAAGTTATAGAAGTTTGAGTTTATGAAAATGTACGATATAAAAAAATTAATTATTCATAATTTATATAAAATAAATATTTTCAAAACCTAGGCGACTCTAAAACTGCAAAAAAAAAAAAAAAATCATCGAAGCCAAAAATCTGAATAAGTTGTGTTTCAAATTTTAGGTTGATATCTCTAAAAATGAGCTTTCAGTGAGATTTTGTTTGGGCGCAGTACCAAACTTTTTCACTAGGGCACAATCAGACTCCATTACTGCCCATATAAGGGCGCCTCCATCTTCATATGAAATAATAATTATTATAATTATAAAATAATTGAATGGAGGCTCTCTTTTGAACTCTTGGCATGAAAACAAATCTTTCATGATTTTTCATGTTCATCACAATTTCAAAATAAAGGTCTAAACACACCTTAGAGTATGAAAATATTCTTGTTGCAAATTGATAAATTACGGCTCCTCGGTAATATATTTTGAATTTGATTAGTTTAGGTTTAGTAATACTGTTTTAAAAGTATAATGGATTTGGGCCCACCGGTGGGCCCGTGACACTTAAGGGGTTTAATATGCTTTAACACACACCATGTGTAAGTTGATAAGTGGACAGCATTGCTGAGTATTTCCTCCTTAAAACTGCAGTGAACCAAAGACAGTCTCAAAAACACGCTTTGAAATCGCTGGTGTTTCTGACATCACAAACCACCTTGTAACCAATCAGATCAACGTGTGATCGTCAACCAGTGGATCTCTGAGTGAGAGAGTGGAATGACAGCAGTGCTACCTATGGAATGTCCTTACAAGTATTGCAAAATAAACCTCTCTGTGTGTGTGTGTGTGTGTGTGTGTGTAAACCGCCTCCATATCTCTGTTCAGATGTGCCCATCATCTTGAAACAGCGTTCGCTGCTCGGAGCGGTGCTGACTGAGAGAAAAAGTGATGTCTAGAGGACAAATATGGCACGTAAATAATTAATCACATCCGTCACTCCTATCATTCTCCTAGACTTGATCCGGCCTGCTTTATCTCCATGTCCCTTGATATAAAAAACACACATACTTGCCCTCGAAACACACACAGAGGCCTCTCCTGATGGACTGTCGTTGAAAACCTACGAGTCCTACGAGTGTACAATGTAAAGAAGTTTAAATCAATACTACATTTCCTTCAATTTGAAAACAAGCATTATTTATTTATTGCATTATTTACCGGTACAGCAATGCACTTACAAAGGAAGGCTCTTGGGAATTGCAATAAGATAAGCGTTAAAATATTGTTTCAAAAGTATAGCTCCAAGACTAACAAAATAATACATAACTAACACCTCTGAAAGCCTGTTCACACCAAAGACAATAACGGTAACGATAAAGACGAGCAGAGTCCACAGAATGGCACGGAAAAGTGATGTCATTGAATGACTTACGAGAGGTAAAAACGATATAAATACTGTTCGTTTTCTCACACAAACCGCTCGTTTCGTGTCTTAGGCCATCAATGTGTACTTAAATTTACGAGTCATTAAATCATGTTTAATTTGGACTTCTTTGTGGATGCTCTTTGAGGTGGTGACCATAGACCTCCATTATATGACTGACAGACAAGAACGGTTTGACCTAAAAATATCAAAATTTAAATACTGCGTAAACAAAGACACCTACATCTTGGATGCCCTTGAGGTAAGCTGAAACATATCAAAAATTAATTTCAAAGTTATCTATCCCTTTAAAGAGCTCGAGCATTTAAAGTATGTGTGTACGCTAAAATGGTTATGGGTATCTTTAGTTATTGTTGTGAACGGGCTTTAAGAACAATCTTTTCTGTGCAAAGTTATTAAATATTTCAACTACTGTTATGAACATGCTGGTAACCCCCAGAGTTTTTTGCACAACACACAAAAATACCAGAAAGAGACCATTTACCAAGTAATCAAGGTTTGCATGCTTGGTTTGCCCCTGCTGGTAGATATCATAACTACACCATTGTGTTGCTAATAAAAATCTAGACTGCCACTGAAAAATAGCAGTGCATATAAAAATATAAAATACATAAATATTATTAATAATAAATATGCATGCTTTTTTAATCTCTCAAAATTAAAATAGCAGCACACTGAAAACTGATCTCCCAGATATTTGATTACAGCACATCTCTCTCTCTAAGTACTACTGCTAGACGGACTGGATCAGGTATTATAGACCCCTTTATTGTTCCACCTATGGGAATAATAATGATAATGCATAAACAGACATTCATCTAGACAAGTAATCCCATGTTAAACGGATGATTGAACTAAACAGCTCAAACACTGGATTGAACCCCACTGGATTACCTCACATGATATCATAGACGTCCATTGTAAATTTTGTTTGTTTTGACAAACTGAGGGATGAGTCAATATTTTATAGCACAGATGTTGTTCATTAAGCTTAAGTTGTTTTGCACATTCCATTAAGAGCCAGTTGTGGTATTGTGCATTTATTCTGAAGATAAAAATATTAAGATATCAAGTTTACAATAAATAAACACACACACCCAAACGTATATGTTGCATGCAAAACTAATTGGGTTTTAAACTGTAGTAAAGCAGTGATCAGGAAACACTAGCCATGTGTTCTGCAATCTGAGGTTATAAACCAAATAAATAAAAGATCTGGGGTTAACCACACTGCAGTCATCACCCACGTCCTAACAAGATCTACAAGCTCAGGACCGCCTAAAATGCTCCCTATTGGGAGGAACCAAACACCGGACACGATAGTTGAGGCTATGTACTGCATTGAGGCTGCACATCAGGGACCAGAAACGTCAAGTTACCTTTGATTTCAGTCATTTAGATACACAAATGAATAAATAAAGAATAGTTGCTGTGCAATCTGGAACATAAACTATCTATAATCAGGGTCTCCCTGTCAAAAGGGAGAATTAAATGCCCCCCCATAACATGAGTCTGTGATTGGATCATTATTGCAGTGGTTATTATGTTTATTGCATGATATATGTTTGGCAAAAGTTTCACCATTTGATGGATATAACATCACAACATGTTTTCCATCAAGAGGTGCATACATTGTTATGAGTCCAGCACTCTGTAAAGTCTCCTCCAGCACATCCCAAACACTTTCTGATGAATTTTGACATTGTCCTTCTGGAATATGTCCATGATGTGTCTACATGGGTGTTTAAGAAATGAAAAACTAAACACTCTTTCATTTAAGGTTAGAAGAACTGCTGCCAAACATATAAACATAATAATCACTGCAATAATGATCCAATCACAGACTCTTAAAGTCCATCTGTAGTCAACAATTATCTCTTAAAACTCATCTTTGATCACCAAAATTACATATTTAAACGTTTTTTTGTTTTTTTTATATTGAAAACATAATAATAATTAATAATTTCTGAAAATTAACTCTCGGTCTTTATTCAGTTTTTTTATCTTTATTTCTTAATAGAATTCATCAAAGTATAGAATAGAATAATTTTAACGCCGTGTGACAACATGCCCCGCCTGCGCAACTGGGATTTAAACCCGGCTAGTGTCTTTTTCTGGTTAGGTCTGCCTTAAAGAACTGTCTCAACTGTTAAATAACAGATATAAGATTAATAATATAATATAAAATTTGTCTAATTTTAAATAACCACAAAAAAAAAAAAAAAAACAGAGATGAAAAATAATTTAAATTCACTTTTCCTATGGTTAAATAAATGTTCAGTGATATCATCCAAAGATTTTTATTTTATTTTATTTTGGCGCAGATTTTTGTAAAAATAAATAAATAATAATAATAAATAAATAAATAAAAATAAACAATAATAAATAAAAACATCACGTCACATTACAGGACTGCAAACAAAGTTAAGAAGTGATAAAAATGGTAAAACATCTAAACAACAGACACCTTTCCTTTTACGTTCATAAATGTAAAACTTGGAAGTTTACAATGACATTTCTAAAAATGTAATATAAAACACACAAACACACACATTCAAACCCCTAAAAGCTGCATCAGATTTCAGTTTCTCCTGCGGTGAGATCTGATCACTTGGACAGGACTCATCCCTTCAGCTGGAAGCTCCAGACAACACGCTGAGACGTTTCCTAAAATCTCCTAATCCCTTCAGTTTTGCAGAAACGCGCGATTTCAAGCTGTTCGCTAAACTCCACCGCAACAAATCAGGTGTGTGTGGTGAGGCTGCGCTGATGTCCCCGTGAGAGACCAGGCGGGGAGTCTATAAAACACACCCGCGCAGACTTATAATAACCAGACTTACCCATAAACATGCTCTCCATGGTCATCACGCGCACAGAGCCGTGGCGTCCCCGCGCACCGCTGTCCTCAACAGTGAACCCATGATTTCAGTTGAACATGTGGGGAACTGTCTCTCTCTCTCTCTCTGTGAACTGAGATCTTCAGAGAAACTCCTCAGCTGTGTCTCAGAGCGAGCTGATCCTCTCCAGATGTAATCTGACTCCTGCGGAACGAGCCGATATCAGCGTCTCTAGCGGGAGTCAAGCCGCGGCTGCTCATTTGTTCTGTCTGAGTGTTCCTCAGGCACTACTCTCTCTCTCTCTCTCTCTCTCTCTCTCTCTCTCTCTCTCTCTCTCTCTCTCTCTTCCCTCTCTCTCTCTCATTCCCTATTCAGCACCTCTCATTTCAAATCTCTCTCTCCTCTCTCTCTCTCTCTCTCTCTCTCTCTCTCTCTCTCTCTCTCTCTCTAGTTATCTGGTGACGTCCTCAAATGCGATTCATAAAGTAAACATTTTAATTTCTAGCTTATTGTGTTAATTTATCTAAGAGCATTTGACAGATTGTTTGTAGAGTTTTCGCTGTGTGGTGTTGCTAGATGGCTATTAGATGTTCTATTAGCCTGCTAGTGGATTTTGCAAGGTTGTTGCTAGGGTGCTCTGGGCTGTTGCTATGATGTTGTGGGTAGTTGCAGCAGTAAGCAACTTAGACTGGCAAAAATTAAGTCTCTCAAGTCTCTGCCCTTTAAACATGGCTCGCCCACTACAATGCAAGCCTTTATTTGCTGGTTATCGTCTGCTAGGGGTACAACAGGTGGAGAGTTTGGGGTATGGCTACTGCAGCAGGAGAGAGTTTGGGGAGTGGCTACTGCAGCAGGAGAGAGTTTGGGGAGTGGCTACTGCAGCAGGTGGAGAGTTTGGGGAGTGGCTACTGCAGCAGGAGAGTTTGGGGAGTGGCTACTGCAGCAGGTGGAGTTTGGGGCGTGGCTACTGCAGCAGGTGGAGTTTGGGGCGTGGCTACTGTAGCAGAGAGGTTTGGGAGTGGCTACTGCAGCAGGTGGAGTTTGGGGCGTGGCTACTGCAGCAGGTGGAGTTTGGAGTGGCTACTGCAGCAGGTGGAGTTTGGGGAGTGCTACTGCAGCAGGTGGAGTTGGGGCGTGGCTACTGCAGCAGGTGGATTGGGGAGTGGCTACTGCAGCAGGAGAGAGTTTGGGAGTGGCTACTGCAGCAGGTGGAGTTTGGGGCGTGGCTACTGCAGCAGGTGGAGTTTGGGTGGCTACTGCAGCAGTGGAGTTTGGGGCGTGGCTACTGCAGCAGGTGGAGTTTGGGGCGTGGCTACTGTAGCAGGTGGAGTTTGGGGAGTGGCTACTGCAGCAGGAGAGAGTTTGGGGAGTGGCTACTGTAGCAGGAGAGAGTTTGGGAGTGGCTACTGTAGCAGGTGGAGTTTGGGGGTGGCTACTGTAGCAGGTGGAGTTTGGGGAGTGGCTACTGTAGCAGGTGGAGTTTGGGGCGTGGCTACTGCAGCAGGAGAGAGTTTGGGGCGTGGCTACTGTAGCAGGTGGAGTTTGGGGGTGGCTACTGTAGCAGGAGAGAGTTTGGGGAGTGGCTACTGTAGCAGGAGAGAGTTTGGGGCGTGGCTACTGTAGCAGGTGGAGTTTGGGGAGTGGCTACTGTAGCAGGTGGAGTTTGGGGCGTGGCTACTGTAGCAGGTGGAGTTTGGGGCGTGGCTACTGTAGCAGGTGGAGTTTGGGGCGTGGCTACTGTAGCAGGAGAGAGTTTGGGGAGTGGCTACTGCAGCAGGAGAGAGTTTGGGGTATGGCTACTGCAGCAGGAGAGAGTTTGGGGCGTGGCTACTGCAGCAGGAGAGAGTTTGGGGCGTGGCTACTGCAGCAGGTGGAGTTTGGGGCGTGGCTACTGCAGCAGGTGGAGTTTGGGGCGTGGCTACTGTAGCAGGAGAGAGTTTGGGGAGTGGCTACTGTAGCAGGAGAGAGTTTGGGGAGTGGCTACTGTAGCAGGAGAGAGTTTGGGGAGTGGCTACTGTAGCAGGTGGAGTTTGGGGAGTGGCTACTGCAGCAGTGGAGTTTGGGGAGTGGCTACTGTAGCAGGTGGAGTTTGGGGAGTGGCTACTGCAGCAGGAGAGAGTTTGGGGAGTGGCTACTGCAGCAGGTGGAGTTTGGGGAGTGGCTACTGCAGCAGGTGGAGTTTGGGGAGTGGCTACTGCAGCAGGTGGAGTTTGGGGAGTGGCTACTGCAGCAGGAGAGAGTTTGGGGCGTGGCTACTGTAGCAGGTGGAGTTTGGGGCGTGGCTACTGCAGCAGGTGGAGTTTGGGGAGTGGCTACTGCAGCAGGTGGAGTTTGGGGAGTGGCTACTGCAGCAGGTGGAGTTTGGGGAGTGGCTACTGCAGCAGGTGGAGTTTGGGGAGTGGCTACTGCAGCAGGTGGAGTTTGGGGAGTGGCTACTGCAGCAGGTGGAGTTTGGGGAGTGGCTACTGCAGCAGGTGGAGTTTGGGGAGTGGCTACTGCAGCAGGAGGAGTTTGGGGCGTGGCTACTGTAGCAGGTGGAGTTTGGGGAGTGGCTACTGCAGCAGGTGGAGTTTGGGGAGTGGCTACTGCAGCAGGTGGAGTTTGGGGAGTGGCTACTGCAGCAGGTGGAGTTTGGGGCGTGAGCAGCAGTTGCGGCACAGTCGGCGATGAAATGACAGAAACAACAGGTGACTTAATTAATTTTAGTTAAAAATCACAACAAAACGAATTTGAAAATGGGGGGGGACACAAACAGGATTTTGAAAAGTGTGTGGGGGGCATGTAAGGAAATTACGCCCGTGGTTGAGACATGCCTAAATAAATGAATGAATAAATGTTTGAGTTGGTGAGGCGTGACACGTTAAAGGGGCGTTTGCAAGGTGTGCTTTATCGGTTATGTAATTCCGCTAGGCACCACTAGTGTCACAAAAACTACATACTTCACTTTTATGTATCAGCAGTTGTGATGCTGTCCTTTACCACCACTTAATGTTTTTTTTTTTATTTTATTCTAAAAATGCAAAAAGTTTTAGGTCATCATAAATACGAACTATCATGTCTATGGTAGTACATTTAAACGAACAGGTACGCACGTATAAGTGTGTCTATGTGAGACCATAGGAGAATATGTCACCCCGGACACAAAAAACACACGTACACTTGACCTTGATTCCCCTCTTGGCTCTCTCTCAGATCTTTCCTTGATTGGTTCACTGTAATTTTATCTGAAGGTCAGGAGGAATTGACCGTTCGAAAGCCTCCCACACTTACTGCCTACAAATCAGAGGCTTTGCTCGCAAACAACAAAACAAACACATATGCAGAGAAAAACAGATCCTAACACACTCTCGTCCACTCGAGGGAAAACAAAACACTAACAGCAACAAAACTCATTTCCTCTACGGGTTGTACATTACGCTCGCCTGCCGTTATAAGAGACGGCAGATATTTTGCATCATTGCAGATGTTTTCAATTAATCCCGAATTCCCAATTGCTCCCGTGCCTCTTGTCCCGCCTCCATCCCGCTGTGTGTAAATACATTTATTCCGTATCTATAGTCACAGAGCCTCCACTTGTCCTGGCTGGCAAATGTGTTTTTTAACCTTGACTTGGAGGTGTCACTGCTGAGATAGTGCATTATTTGTCACCATGAATAGCATTTAACAGCAGCTGTGCCCAGAGGAGCCCATGGCGAACCACATGCAAAGTGCAGCATGGGAAACTTCATTAATCTCTCTGTCACTTTCGTGACGCTTTTCATTAGTCACGCTGCTATCTGATCAACTGGCAGTTTGTGGGAGGTTACGTGTGTTTCCGAAGCTTTGACCAGTATCTGCGAAAGAGGAGCGATGATCTAGGAAGCAGAAGAGAGAGTGCTGTGCTCTTTCCCACAATGCACCATTCAACAGGCCAAGCCATTAACGCTCACAGAATCGATTCGTGCAGTATATAAAGCATTACTATTTTTTATAAATAAATAAATAAAATACTTAATGAATCTTGCACAGTATAAAGAATTACCATTGTTTAATAAATAAATAAAAATATATAAATTAATTAAATAAATAAACTGCTTAATGAAGTACGGCATTTCGTATAACAAAGAATTATATTAATTAAACAAAATATAAATAAACTGCTGACTGAATCTTGCACAGTATATAAAGCATTTAATAACAAAAATAATTCAATAAATGAATGAATAAATAAATAAGTATAAAATTACTAAATCCTGCTCATTATTAATTCACTATTTTGTAAATAAATATAATTAAAAACAAATAATAAACACAGTATATTCACACTCTAAAAAATGCTGTATCAACCCAATTTTGGGTCAAATATGGACAAACTCAAACATTGGGTTAAAAATGTAATTTAAAAATGTAACCCAATGGCTGGGTTTGTCAATTTTTTTGACCCAAAATTGGGTTAAAACAACCCAGCATTTTTAGAGTGCAAATAACACAGTACAGCATAATAAATAAAACAATACAGTAACTAAAATAAACAAACTGAATACTGAATCCTGCACAATACAATAAAAAATGTTAAAAGTAAAATTGTTATTCTTTCACTGAATGTAAAAATGTTTCTTTTATAAATGGTGTTATTTATTTGGGAACTCAATACTAAAATATATGATCTGAACTGCTATCTAAATTCATTTTAGCTCCGAATAGTATAACTATTGACTCATTTGTGTCTATTTCTATTTCTTCTAAGGAAACGTAAGAGAAAAATATCAGTTATTAAATTTTAACCAAGTCTCATGAGCAATGAAAAAAAAAAAAAACTCAATCTGTCAAAAACAAAACAATCTGTCATATATTGTAACATAACTAAACCAGTTACTTTCCCTGCGAGGTGTAAACAAACACACAATAAAAAAGGCCATTTTCATATACAAATTAAAAACTGATTCCATCAGCAGAAAAGGCCTCGGGTGAAGTCAATCTGCAGGAATAATACAGTGACCTGTTCGTCACCCCGTCGGGACGTCAGTCTACCTATAACTGTATATTCTGATGAAAGTGCATAAGACATTTACTGACTGTTTCTGGTTGTGACTCTGGGCTATAATGGCTGGCGTGAGGCTCGACAGACGCTTACAGAAGCAGAGGTCAATGTGTCGTTCACATTTAAAGGAATGAATATGTGAAGAGAGCAGCTCCCATCAAACCCTCCTCACCACTGCAGGATGAGGACCAGGAGTTTATTTATATAGCAAATTTCATATGCACATGGTAATTCAGAGTGCTTTACATAGAGATGGAGTTAAAAT